TAATACAATGTCATGTACCATATGGCCTCTCAAATTATAACTGCCAATTCTGAGGCTATTTAAAGGGATTTCGCTGTCGCTCAAAGCAAGGTTTAACCTAAAATAAAACTTTGAAACACACATTTAGTGCCTAAACCCATTTTTTTAAGAGCCTGCTGAAGACAGTTTTTGTAATTTAATTATTTCGGCATTTTTTAAAGCCACAGAATCGATGGATATGTACCATATTGTTGGTAACTTACCTGCAAACTTCCATTTAGAGAAATGAAATTCATTTATTCCCTAGCATTAGAAAGAGCAGAAACTGTGGCTATATATTTGAACTCAATTTTCCATGGGATTGAGACATTATACGCCAAGGCTCAGCCTAGGGCAAAATTGTACAGCTGAATTATATCCTTAGGAAACAGGTATTCATCATGCACATAAAAAATGCTGACGCAGCTTGAATTTTTTTCCCCCCTCTACAAAATAATGGGGACAAACAAAATCACAAAGCAGTCACTGAGCATTCTAATTAGTTTGGACAGCAAAACTTGCTTGGTAGGCTGTTTGGCTTCTGGGCGTATTTAAAGATACATAAATCAGGCACAGTCTGGCAACATACCGGGTCACCTGGGGGGCCTGGCAGACCTGGCTTTCCATCCCTCCCTGGAGCTCCCTGAAAACAGAAACATCATGTTCAAAGCTTTGCACAGTGGCACAGGTGCCGATTAAAATGGGTGGAAATGGGGGAAGCGTAGGCTAAGACGGTCCTTACATCATTTCCTGGGGTCCCTGGGGTTCCTGGCAATCCAGGGAGACCTCGAGGACCCTGGAAAATGGGGAAAATAGTGACTTATGAGGACAGTCTTTCAGCAATTCCCCCCAAGTAAGCAAGCTGTATTTGCTGAGCCAAATAACTTGGTGAAGTGGCTTACCTGAATACCTGGCTCTCCAGCTGGTCCTTGGGAGCCCTTAGTAGAATGAGATCCAATGATCAGAATTCTCTGCCAAGAACGTCCATAAACCATCCAAGTGGGGTAAAGGGCTAAATATTGTAATTTATTTAGTGGAACAATAGGACTTGCCACCATGCATGCTCTGAAAATTCTGCAGTCAGCCAAGGCTTTGGGGTGACAGGTCAACACGTAGCCAGATGCCTGTTGCTGGGCACATCAACATGACTTTGCTCAGATGCCTGGATGTCTCTCTCAGTACCATCATCTGTCCCTGTACCTCCACGACCGCACAAACAACGCATTCAAATTCTATCTGTTCAGAAACTGACTGCTCATGGGGTAACTGGCTCAGGGCTTCCTTTTGCTACTGCTTTCTATTTTGCCTTATTTTTCTGTTGGAAGAAATTGCCAGAACCAGGGTTCAGTGGCAGGAGTGAGAAGTAAAACATCAATCACTTATTCTTTCCTACTTTAGCAAACTGGAATCTGGGGTAACTAAAACGAGTTGGGAGATCACCAGCGAACTTAGATGATAGCTCTAACCCTAGTATATAACCAAGGACCACTGAAGGAGGAATCGACAACCTAAGTAAGTAAAGAGCTGGCTTCTCAGCATCTGGCTTTGGTGACTGTATCCTTAAGTTATTATTTTTTATTTTTTGCTTCAACCTCCTTCTTTCCCCTAATAATTTTCTGATCTACTTTTTCACTTTTTTTAATCTCCCATCTCCAGTGATCTTTTATATTCTTGTCCTGGAAAATCAAACACCAGTCACACACAACATAACCAACCATTCACTATTTATACCTCTGTTTAGCTCTCATGAGAACTCCATTACAAGGCCAATTTCCCAAATAATGCCATTAAAATAGCAGGTATTTCCACTTTTCTTGTCCCAGCATCTCTATTTTTTTTTATGGTAAATAAAAAGCTTTATCACTTATCACCATTTAGTCAATAAATATGCATA